AGCTCGAAGAGATCGCCTGCCGTTCGAACAACGAAAAAAGATGACCAGCAGCAGAGTCTAGTCCCGCGTCGAACGGGATTGATTCCTCTCCCAGCCAAACAGGCAGACGGCAGCAGAATTCGAATCACAGAGAGATGTGCACAGGGCACCGCTAGACTTGATACAGTCGGAGTGCATGTACGGTAACGATGAAAGAAGGAAGACGGAAGAAAAAGACGCGTGATGTGTGACGTGCCAGTGATGACTGATGGCTTGCTGATGACTCACACGACTCTTTGCCTTGGCCGTCGACGGGTTCTCTGCAATAGCTTCAAGTTTGCTTCCAACAGCTGTGCATTCCCACTCTCCTTTGCCGCCGCCGCCGCCGCCCGGGGAATCGTCGCTGCGCCCTGCCAGTGTCTCGCATCTCAGGCTCAATGGCAACGAAATTGGACGTTACCTTGAGCTAGGGGTTTGTCTAACATCCTTGTACGCTTTCCCTTACTTGTCAGCCTTGAATCGCAATTCACACCGTCTCCAATGCACAGGGGATGTCTAGCCTGAGTGGCTCAATTACCTCCGGGAATCATAATGTACCCTCCCGCGCGCGATCGATCGTTACAGTATTCGTCAGGGACCGGATAAGAGTGGGAAGAGTGGGTGAGTCTCCAAGGCCCCCTCTCGCGCTATCCCCCACTCTCATTTTCGCCGATGAAGGCCCTCCACGCCGCCAACACCCCTCGTTCGACAAGTACAACCATCAGCTCTCGTTTCCGCCCACTGTCCCTCCCGCTCTACCTTGACTACAAGACCCCGACTCCCAAGCAGCGCACAGTCGATGTGGCACCTGCGCCTGTCGTACGGCAGTCCAAGCCGACGACACCCACGACTCCGCAGGCGAAGCATGGCGTCTCAGGCAGCATCCAGCTCCCCCGTATTCTCCGGGGACCCATCGCCGTGCGCAGCAGCCTCCTCCCCAAACCCACTCCCACTCCCACTCCCAACGCATTCTACCACCCCCAACGCGCCGAGTCGCGCTGCTGCCAAATGCTCATGCAAGGGCTCTTCGTTGCGTTCGAAGACGACTCCATCGGCTCCGGCTTCTCCCACCACCAGTCCAAACACGAAGACCTGCTCGCAGACGGCGGCCGGCCCTTTACGCACTTCATCTCCCTCTCCACGCGATACTCCGCCTCCATCGCGCACGCACACAGCGCCGACGGCAGGACTCGGAGCCTTCGGCTGCGGCTGCCACGGCTGTACAGCGCCGTGCCCCCGACGGACGAACAGATCGCCGAACGCGTGCATGCCGCGCGGCTGGCGGCGCTCAGCCGCGGGGAAGGCTTCGGCGAAGACGAGTACTACAACGTCGTGTTCGAATCCGAGGTCGACTACGCCGATAAGGGGTTCACCCAGCTCGAGGCGCTGCAACTCCTCGCAGTGCGGGACTTTCTCTCCACCGCGGGCCTCGATCCGGACCTGCATTCTGGTGCTACTGCGCGGGTGCTGGTGACGACTCCACGGGATCATCGCACAGACGCCATCGCGGCCGTCATGGGATACCTCTCCCTCGTGCTCGGGCACCCCGTCGCGAAACTCCTGCGCACCCAGAACAGCCATCCGAGGATTCTGAGTATTTGGAAGTATGCGGTGTCGGACGAGTGTGCGGTGTTTATTCAGGATGTGGCGCGTTTGTGACTTTTTTTTTGGGTGCGTCGATGTCGATGTGCTGGGCATGTCGGCGTTGCTTTACTTTACTTACTCAGGGTGCTTATAGTAGATCGTTGTAGCGTTATTTTGTGGTACTTGTAATTTGTCCAGTCGATAGTCGCCTCTGCGTCATCTGTAACTTCAACCGTGGCTCCAAATTGCAAAATTTGTTCTGCAGATGATGAGCGAGGTCCTGCTATTTTTTTTTTTTCACCGCTGAATTGAATCTGTTCAGCGCCGGCGGAACCCATGGAATAGCTGTAGAATGAATTTCGCAATTTGGAGGAGGCACGGATATATACCGAATTGACACATTTACAAATATTAGTAACTGCCGTTTTCACAAGAGTTGGCCACACGGTCAACCAAAATTGGGCCATTTTTGCCCGTCCGACTTTGAGTGCCCGTTTCTCCTTCAACTTCCACATAAAATTTAGTATATTCTGAATGTACGAGGCGAACAGGTCCACGAAGTATCTATCCCATCGCCATCTCAATGTTCAAGTTCCCCTTGACACTCTTCCACTCCATCGCGGCCGCGCCAAAGAGGCACATACACGCCATCGCCGTACTCGCATAAAACGCCGAAACGAGGGCATCGTTATATGCTTCCACGACAGCGGCGACAAACTCTCTGGGAACCGCCGCGGAATTCCGCAGGGACGTCGCCCCGGCGCGCAGAACGACCGCGGGGTCGACGCCGGGGACGTTCGTGATGAGCCCCTGCATGAGCTTGTTGGTGAATACATTTTGCCCGACCGAGACGAAGAGCGCGCCGCCGAGGGTCTGCAGGAAGATGAGCAGGGATGTGCCTGTTGGGATGTCCGAGAGGGATAGGACTGTCTGTACCGCCATGATGGGCTGTTGGTTGCCCTGGAAGAGGTTGTGTCGGCCCGAGCACATGAAAGGAGGGGAGATGGACGTACGAGTCCGACGCCGAAACCAAAGATGACCTGATAGCCTATCCAATGGGAGGGACCTGTACCGGTGGCTTTGAAGGTCGATATGAGGCCAGCTCCAACGCCCATGAGGACGGCGGAGATCAGCATAAAGGGCGTATAATAGCCAACAACAGTGATAGCTGCCTTCGCGATGAGCAACCAATGCGAGCGACGAAAAGACAGGCAGTAAGTAACTGACCTCCACCAGCAATAAGTGACGCGATAACCATGGACAGGATCATCGGGAGATTGTCGATTCCCGACTTGACGGCAGACACGCCCTTGATGGCCTGGAACCAGATGGGCAACTAACAGGCGCCCGTGCCAGTGGTTAGAAACGAGGATCGCAGAACATGATAACTCACGTAGTAGACCAAAATGAAGAACGAAGAGCCAAGCGAGAATGTGAACCAACTGCCCGCGAGTATACTCCTTTGCTTCAAGATTCTCGGCGGCACCGTCGCGTCTTCCTGGCGCCAAATCTGCACCCCAACAAAGCCCGCAATGAGCGCCCCAAAGACGACAAAGAGTCCGATGATGCGGGCGTTGCGCCACGGGTACTTGGACCCGCCCCATTGCAGCGCGAGGAGAAGGCTGACGATGGCGGGTACGAATATGATGGTGCCGATGGGGTCGAATTTCATGACGCGCGACCAGAACGGTGTGTCTTGCGGGAGCTTGCGAGTGCCGGCGGGCGAGGTGAAGAAGAAGGTCATCACAAAGAGGGTGACACCGCCGATGGGGAGATTAACTGGATTGTTACATTTAGTGTCTCGACTCTCGAGCGCGTTGCAGCCGAGAAAGATACCTACCATAGAAACACCATCGCCAGGTAACTTTGTCCGTGAATACTCCGCCTAGCATCGCCGGTGAATACAGAGGTTAAAAATCTTTGAAAAAAAAAATCCCCACCTAGTAATGGCCCGGCGACGCTGGCGATTCCATACATAGCCCCAATGAGCCCTGTATACATCGGTCGTTTGCCCAGAGGCACCGTGTGCGCGACGATGATGAGAGCACCGGAGAAAATTCCCGCGGAACCCAGACCGGCAATGGCGCGACCGACAATGAGCGTGTTCGAGTTGGGTGCGACGCCACAGATGAGGGAGCCGAGCTCGAATATCGAGATGGCGGTGATGTAGACGTATTTCATGGATAGGAACGAGTAGAAGCGGCCGAATAGAAGCTGCGTGTGACGGAGGGTGAGCGAATGTTTACAGTGCGTGTAGGCAGATCGGCCTACCTGGAAGGCGGCGGTGGTAAGGAGGTACCTTGCAACATAACATAGTCGGAAGAGAGCGTGTAGGTAGAGGGAAGAGACGTACGCAGAACCATACCAACCGATGTCGTCCAGACTTTTGAACTGGTCGGTTATTTTGGGGATTGCGGTGGCAATAATGGTGTTGTCCTAACACGCACTGGGTCGGTAGGAAGAGAGAGAGAAGGATACGCACCAGAGCGACGAGGAACACGGAAAGACACAGGGCAACGGTGACCAAGGCGAGTTTGACGCCCTCGGGATAGACAATGTCGTCCTCGGGAGACGTCTTCTCTGGCACGACGAGGGAGTTCAAATTGGATTCGTCGCGTACAGTGGGCGAGGCGGCGCCGGGTGTGTTGTTAGAGGTCATGGTTGGCAGAGGAAGGGCTACACGAGTGGCAAGAAAAGCAGCGAAAGAATATGTACCGTTTGTGTTGTGCGTTTCGGCTTGGCGTGTGGCCGTCCAGCGTGTTGATGATCCCGTTCAGCTTGTAGAAGGTCCTGGAAGTCAGTAGAACTTCGCGCTAACAACACCGATCGGCAACTGTGAGATGATGTCGTCCTCTTCCCGTAAGACCAGCAGGGTCGTGACTCGTGAGCAATGAGACTGTTGGCAGGAATGACTTGATGTTACTGCGGCGACAATTCCCGACGACGCCTGGGGCGGCGGGACCGTCCGGTGGACATGCACTTCACCAAGACTGAACTTGAAGAGTTGCGGTAGCGCTGATGCCGGCGCCAGTGCTTGGAAGCCAGAGGCTGAAGGGTCCAATTGATGACAATGTTGAAAGAATGTTCAAGAAAGGTGAGAGTCGGCGGGCAAAAGAAACCGTCCGCGGAAGCTGGATGTGAGGCGTATCGCTGCCTGCTGAACATGATGGAAGTGCGGAACAAGATGTGTTCCGCTCACGTCAGCAGCCATCATGACACACCGTTTCATACTCAACATCCATCGTTGTCTTGCTGAGCTCAACCGTGGCCTAGTTAGGGCTCAATGGCCATTTATCCTGCAGTCTGCAGGAAAAATTCAGCGAATCGACTTCAGAATCGCTTCTGTTCACGGTAATGATCTTCCGCTGGCCCCAGTACTCCACTCGTATTCTTTGTCTGGTTTCATGGTGTAGTTGGTTATCACGTGTGCTTCACAATGCGTAAAGCGGCGTCGCACAAGGTCTCCGGTTCGAGCCCGGGTGAAACCATTTTGCGTCGCTAGCGACCGTGGAAGCTTTTGCTGTGTCAACTTTTGATCAAGTTTCCCCATCTTCTTAAAAATTTCCTTGGACGAAGCCCTCGGAACCGTGCTGGTCGTGTCTTGCACTCTCTACGCTACGTGGATGCAATTAAACTATCGACCAGGACTTCCCGAGAAGTTACCGAAAGGACAATTGAAGCCATCCTTACAGCCTTCGTCCTGCTGAACGCCTCCTCGTTTTTGTTCTGCGCTTCCGGTCGACGGAACAGAGGCTGAATGTTGCCTATTCATCGTCGAAATCCGGATCCAGGATTGGACGGTGCCATTCGATGAGCCATTGTTTCTCTCCGAAGTCCGCTGGCGGTCTCATTACGCCCGTCTGGGCAGCACACGGCGACAGCGACAGTTATGGCGACTGCTGGAAGGCGTACAGAGTGAAGAGTGAATGCTCCTACCCAACTGGGCCATGAGAGCGGGAAACCGGTCCTGAACGTATCTTCAGTTTTTTTTTTCGAGTCAGCGCCTGAGCCAGCGGTTTCAAATGTAATTGGATGAACCGCGCATCGAACTGAAGCTTTTGATCCTCGAAGACGACGACTTCGCAGGCGCTACTATCACCATATCACCAATGGTGCTCACGAGTCACCGGTGGATTGCGTCCTCCAAGCGTCTCGGTACGATGCTGCCGAAGTCAGCTGGGCTGTTTCTGAACAGAGGATCCCGAGTTCGTGCACGGTTCTCCATTCACCATCGCAAAACGCAGATGGTTGTCGAAACGAAAATCGCATCGTGATTGGTGACACATGTGCGGATCACATCATAGACCGTGACTGATGCGGATGATCCTTTGTCTTAGACCCTCATCTCGCCAAAAACTCCGTTAGGAGTGCCTACAGACTACGCCGTTCTTTCAGCAATCTCTTACCTTACACCATGGAGTTCAACTTTAATGAGTATCTCGACGATCTGGTGCGTTACCGCAAACCCTCTGCGAGTCCAGCTGACGACGCAAGGCCCCGCCCGTTTTGCCGCCAGAGAGGGGAGAAAGGTCGCGGCGTCCTCCGAGTACGTTATGCTCACGTTCCTGTGCATTGCTCTCATGCGTCTCCAGTCTTTAAAATCCGGCCTTGGAGCTTTTCTATGGGCTCGACGCAAGCAAACGTCTTCAAAGAGGGTTTCCGGGCGGATGATCTGCCGGAGTGTTTTCTCAATTTGAACGATTCGGATTCGGGAGACCAGGTGCGTACTGCTGTCTGTTGTCCTCTCCTTCGGTCTCGCCAACAGCTGCGACAGTCTATATTCTTCAGAGTCCGATTTGCTGAAGATGAGAATGAGGAGGACCCACTTCCCAGTAGAGTGTTCTCCTGATTCATTATCGACTCCTGACCTCCCGCTCCAGTCCTGCAAGCGGTGTGCAATATTGACGACGTGGAATCAGTTCATATCGACAAAACCAATGACCGCGGACGCATTCAGGGTCGGCTGACGTTTACACTCCGGCGACCACCGCTGCTCGATGTAGATCAACGACGGCACCCCTCGCGACCTGCCTGTCTCCGCCGTGCGACGGAGCTGGACTGGTCTCCGGATGGTGCGCAAGAAATGGAGGGCGGTATTGGGGCTGGTCCACCGAGCACAATGCCTAGGTCTGACGGCTATGGAGTACGTGTGCCTATGAAGGTGAGTCGAATCCGTCCGTTCGTCTAGACTGCAACCCTTATTATGATAGTTCGGCCTTTGGCTCACATACAGCTTCGAGTTCAACTGCAAGCGTCGCGACGAGTGGGACCGAGTCGTCACCGCCCTATCGAGGCTACGCACTCTTCGTCGTCCCGGCATGGAGGAGATCTCGGTCGTCAATCCGGAGCAGAATCCAGCCCTGCGCGGAGTTGTCATCGTTCCCAGGAACCCGCGCTGCCTCTTTGTTGGTGAACCCGAGGACTTTTTCGACGTCGAAGGGTTCCTGGCCAGCCCTGCTGTGGATTACCCATTTGAAGCACGATATCTCGTGCTCGGGCTGGTCTCGCAAGGGCTTATTCTACCAACGGAAGGTATGTAGTTAACGAAGAATCATCCCGCTCGTATTAATCCCCCGATAGTCGGCCACCTAATCCACTGCCTCTGGCCGCTCATTCGCGTGTCCACACGTACCGCCGCCCTTCGCGGTCTCTTTCGTCTCCCCCGTCGCTTGCTGGACGGCAACGACGCCATCAAGAAACAAGTCCGTGGCGTTTCTCGCGGCCGCCCATTGCGCGTTCCCAAAGACCGAATCGCCATCCGCCGCGCGGTAGTCACACCCACGCGCGTACTGCTCTTCCCGGAAGTCATTGAAATGGGGAACAGAGTGGTCAGGGCGTGGCCGAAGGAGATGGCAGAGGGGAGGTTTATCAGAGTCGGATTTGCTGATGAGGATGGAAGGCTCAGAGCGACGAAGAAGGTTGTCGATGGAGATGTAAGCACTGCTCATATGCCTCTCGTGTCGTGGCTGACAAGACGGTGCAGTTCTTCGACCCCGAAGCGGGAATCCTCGCTCGTCTTCGAAACGTCCTCAAGAACGGAGTGTATATTGCAGGCAGACATTTCGTGTGCGTTTCCCCCGCTTTGCGTTCAGCATAAAACTGAGCATCGTAGGTTCCTCGCTGCTGGCGAGTCGCAGCTCAAGGACCACTCTTGCTGGATGGTCTGCGAGCACGAGGAATTTACCGCCGATCGGGTACGTGAGCAGATGGGTGACTTCTCTGGCGAGAAAGTCGGTACGTCGCTCAATACATCTAATATGTGTCGCGCTGTCTGACAAGCGACATAGTGGCCAAGTACGCAGCGCGTATGGGTCTCTGTCTAAGCGCGACAGCACCGGTCGCGGAACTCAAGGTCAAGGACATTGAGGAGATTGAGGATATCCAGCACGGCGACTATACCTATACGGACGGTGTCGGTAACTGCAGCCAAAGTCTCGCGGTCCGATGCGCTGTTGCGCTCGGTAGCGATAGGAAGGAACCCTCTGCGGTGCAGATTCGCATGGGCGGGTCTGTTTTTACTCTATCTTCACGCTCGAACGAATATTGACCTGCTCCCAGGATCAAAGGCGTCCTCTCCGTTCACCCGCACCTGGAGAATAACGAAGTCTGCATCCGACGCTCGATGCAGAAATTCGTGTCGCCCCTCCGCGGACTCGGGGCGATGAAGGTCTCGGGCTTCGCACCCGCCCACCTCAACCGACAAGCCATCTGCATCATGGAGGCGCTCGGCGTCGACATCACCAAGCTCATGGACACGTACAAGCGGCAGATCGACCGGGCCGAGCGGATTGAGGTCGACTTTGCGATGCTCGATACAGGGCGACACCCGGCGAGGCACATTTACAAGAACGCGTTTCTCCCGGTCTTGAAGATGGTGCAGGCGGGGTTAGGCAAGGAGACGTTGCTGCAGAATGTGTTGCGGTGTATCAAGTGCCAGTTGTTGAGGGAGCTGAAGTACAAGGCGGTAAGAGCTGCATTATTCGCGAGACATATGTGCTAATGAACTCATAGCGCGTCCTCGTCAATGGCGGTGCGTATCTCTTAGGCATCGCGGATGAGTACAAGTGCGTTCTTCCTCTCTAATCTTACAGCACCCTCGCTAAATTGCATACAGCGTCCTCGAGGAAGGTCAGATATACTGCGCCGTCACCCCGAAAGGCAACAACACTCCCCAAGTCATCACCGGGCAGTGCACGATATTCCGCTCTCCCTGCGTCCACCCGGGCGACGCGCGCCGTGTCACGGCCGTCAACCACGCCGCGTTCGAGAAATATCCGCTCACGAATGTGATTGTGTTCAGTACCAAGCCTGCGAAGAGGGATTTGCCGTCGATGTGCGTCGTTTCTGCTCGTCGAATACCGTATTGTTGTTGATCATTCGCTACTCTAGGCTGGGAGGTACGTTCACCGATGTCTGTCGTTTCGTTGATGAGTGGGGCTAATTGCGCGATGTATCCAGGAGGCGATCTAGATGGTACGCCTACGTCTTGGCATTCACTTCTACTAACTCACTTAAAGGCGACTTCTTCACCGTCATATACGACCCGGACCTGCAGTACGTCGTCTTGCTCACCTCTGAGCGAATCCTAACCACAATCTCGCTAGAATCACCCGCGAATACCCAGCGATGGACTACACCGCAGCCAAGCCCATTCCTCAGGCGAATGTCACCATCTCGGATGTCCAGGATTTCGTCGTCGGTGCGTCGTCTTCCATCTATAACTTCATCGCGCAGGGCATTGATCCATTATAGAATACATAAAGAACGACGTCCTTGGGATCGTCTCGAGCTTCCACCAAGCGGTCGCGGATTACCGCGGACCGATGAGCGACCAGTGTATCGAGCTGGCGAAACGCGCGTCGGATGCGGTGGACTTTGCAAAGTCGGGGGTTCCTGTGCGGATTGAAGAGAGGTGCGTGTGTGCGTTCTTGTGGGTGGCCGTACTAACGAGTACGATAGCATCAAGCCGATCCGCTACCCCGACTTCATGGACAAGGCGCCCGAGGAGAGCTACAAGAGCACGCGCGTGCTGGGCATGATGTATCGCATGATAGAGCCAGCGCCGACGTACGAGCCGTCGACGGGAGTGCATCTCGACACCCGGCTGACGAGGAAGAGGGTGCTGGGGCATTATTTGGCAAGAGCAGGGGAGATGAAGCAGAATGTGCGTTGCCAGAGCTATTCGGTGTGAAGCAGGCTAACGAGTCGTTCTGCAGTACGATGTGGATATGGAAGGGCTGATGCGGCAGTGAGTGCTTCGCTTGGGTTCGGTGACTCGAGACTGAGAGCAGCAGACATAACCTGTGTGAAGCGGAGATCATCGCTGGTGTGTCTGTCATGAGCGAGCAGAGAAAACGACGTGCCGCTGACGACGCAATGCGGGTGTGTAGTCCGTCCTCCATTTGTCCAGCTTCCTCGTTAACACACTCAGGGCCCTGTCCGGGAAGGCATGGAGGCGATCCGGGAACAATACCGGCGCGAGGCCCGC